GGGGGGGGGGGGTTCCACCCCCACACCCCCTGTAGCGCCGGCCCTGTTGACAGATGTTTTTATATAACCGCACTGTTAGGTTATTTCTGGACAGTGTACACTGACAGATGTTTTTTATATAAATAATAGCAACTAACTATGTTTAGCAAGTTATTGAAGTGCATTTATTTCAATTGGCTAACGTTTTAGATTTTTCCAGCATTTTTTAAACAAACCATGGGTTATAAATGATAACTTTCTATATCTAATTAAAACAATCTGTCATGTACAGAATGTACACTCTGAATGCAAGTAAGTACATAACTGTAAAAATTGCTTTAGTAAAATTAAATAAATGAATAATTTATCCATGCATTTGACCTACTTTGTGAGTAATTTTTTCCGATTAAAATTAATGCAACAATATAAACAAGATGTCTTTTTATATATAATATTTATTAAATTTCAATAAATTGACCACAATATTATAACATTGACAACACGATACTTTATAATTTGCTATATGATACATGATAATACAATAAAAAGATTGTTTTATTGTTATATAATCCCTTGACTAGTCAAAATAGTAATAAAACATCAAGTTTCAAGTTTTTTCGCTTGCTACAGTTACCGGTTAGCGACATCATAATCCTCGTCTCACCCCAGATATCCAGTCTCATTTTTCGTATGAAAAAGATTAATTTAATTTTCAACTCAAATGTCAATTTTCATTTAATGAAGGAGGAAAATCTTCAATACCCTCGTCCCGTTCGCCTTTAAAGTAAAAGGCTTCTTCAATTATATTCGAATCGTGCAAGCTAGAACTGATAACGAGACAAAAAGTCGATCAATTGAAGCACATAATGGCAGAGTTTTCTTGTCCATGTTCCTCCGCATATGATATTAAAAGACTAAAAGTTCAATTTGGAATAAGAATGCTTGTGAAAAGAGAAAGTTGTAAGGCACCCGAGCTGAGGCTAGCGCGGTGTGAGAGAATTCGAAATAAAGGCGTCAGATTCCTCATTGTCTGAAATGTAAAATGAACCAAACGGCACAGTCTCTGCATGTTAGGGATTAACTTGCTGGAGAAGCAATGGGCTGAACACCCTTCCTAGCTTTTGTTAAGGGAAGGGGAGTGGGGATAATTTCCGTATCCATTCCATTTTTAGATTTGGTAAAGCATTTACAAAAATAGAAATAAAATTAGAGCAAGATGCGACAGTAACATGATTGTGAAATGCAAGACCACAGATAGTTCCTTGCTGGCTAACTCGATCTCTAAGACACTTTATCAATGTCACACCACGAGCCATGACCAAACTCGATAAGCACGCTGTACCAGATGTGCCTGGATCCATCCCTGCTGAATGTCAAATTTTCGCCCTTATTCATCTGACCGTCGAACACCCTATGTCTGTCCATTCTTTCATTGTTGTTGCTGCGATCATTATTTCCGTAGTTGTTGAAGTTGTTATTGGAGCGCTTTTTGCATAAAAAGCAGTATCAAAGAGTAGATAAACAGAAGCACAAGTAAGGCATTATCTTGCATTCCTCTATCTTTCCCTGCTCCCCACACTGTGTTCGTAAGACAGACTTTGTTAGATGTACTCTTTGAAGTTAAATCACTTTAACAACTTGGTCCATGAATGGATGGAACTATAGTGATATCCACACCAGGGCCGTAGCGAAAAGGTTAAGGTTGGTGGGGGGGGGGGGGGGGGCA